TACGGTTACATCGATATAAACCACCACGCTACTGTGACTGTTCATTTGTTCAAATTTAACCCATCGATTCAGCGTACACCATAAATATTGATGACATCACATTCCTGTATTTTTGTTTTCTTTTTGGCGTTCTGAACGGCTACAAATACAGAAATGTGAAGTACAGCCAAGTTTGAACAGAAATAGTGTATTTATACACATTGTTTACGTTGCATGGAACTCATGTGTGACGACCATCAAACTCAACTCTGTTAGCTGCAAATGATAGCTGAAAAAATTGGTATTCTGGTGGTTTCTTTTCTTGAGTAACTCTGAATGAAACACAAATCATTACATGGACTGAAAATGTTAGCGACAAACCACTCAACAATGCCGAGAGTCCTGTACTTGATAGGTTTGAATACTAGTGAGTCAAAGCAAGACTTGTTTTCAAGTGCAAGACGATTTCTCCCAGCCATAATTTTTTTATATATAGTATAAATGAAAAAAAAAAGATTTTGGGATTTTTTTTAATTTTTTTCAAAGTCAATTTATTTAACATAAATAAAAATCATGCTTCCATAGTGTTTTAATGTTGAACATTTTGGTTTTTGTCAACTTCATTCTACCTAATTTTAAATATCAAATTTTGTCTTGTGACAAGGATAAGATTATGTTGATAGATAAAATTTGAAGACAAAATTCCCTTAAAATTCAATCAGTTGACAAAACAAAGACATTTTTAGAGAATAAAATGACAGGCGGCAACTGTGGCAAACATCAAAGGGAATGGAATGCTGTGACATCTCTTGATGCGCCATATTCTATTAGGTAAGCGTCCGGATGCACAACCGCCAAAAAAAATACTATGCATCAAAGATATTTACTATAGACTAGTTTAGATACTGCTATTCATGTACTGTAGACTTGTTTTTGAAAATCAAAGATTGATGATATTGATATATTGGTATATTGATACTTGTCAATTGTTAACTCCAAGCAAATTGTGTAACCCATTTTCGAAAATATGTGAAATCAAATTCGTTCGAATTCTACGATATTGTAATGTCCTAGTACTGCTAATTCGTACATTGTAAAACGTAATAATTATTTTATTGAATCTTGTACGTGCGTGACGCGACTTGTTGTAGAATATTCAAACGTAATCTAGCATATCGAACATTCAAAACTCAAGAGACATTACATCAAAGAAAAGAAAAAAAAACATAATTTCTAATTCCCTGTCCTTGTATTCTTTAGAGTCTTTAGTTTAGGATAAAAATGCAAATGAAAGAGGAATCAAAAAAAAAAAAAAAAAAAAACACTGACAGAAAAATTGATGTTTTAATGACAAGATCATTACAGTAAAGTATAGCCAGGGGCATGTTATCTTACAGTTTCTCGTGTTTCTTTTTTTAAACACACACAAAGATTTGTTATCTCGTAAACTGTCATTTGCATCTGTTGTTAATATTGTTAGCGACAATTTTTCAATACCTACAGCAATAAACCGTCAATGGTTCAATGCTGTTGTCAGATTTCATAATTCCTCATGAAGTGGGGAAGTTTTTGTTAACGGGAAAATTAAGAAAAAAGAACTAGTGTAAAATAAAATTGCCCGTAAATACTGATAAGAAAATAGTTTCTTTGACAAGATGATTATTAGGTATTGCCAGCAGCAGCGTAGCTTTTAGTTAAATAGTATAATCATGCCAGCTAAGATTCTGCTTGTATTTCTTTGCCCGTCGCCAGCGGCAAATTACGTTGACATTCGGGTACAAAAAAAATTATGTTGTTTTCACCACCAATGGCTAGGAGTAATTTCAAACCAAGGATTTGTGCTTAAGAAAACATATCATCACTCACAGAAATGTAAATTAAATATCAGGAAAACATAGTGCTTAATAATAAGGTTATTAATTTAGGTCCTTAGGTACAACATACGCTACGATATTTTCCTGAACGTATTTTTAACCGTCGTTGGGAAGACTAGGTCACTAGGACTAGGTTAACTATCATTTTTGCTTTCAGAGACTTTTTGCAAACGTCAAAATGTTTATTAAAATCTTTTGATTGAATCATTCAAAGAAAGTTAAACTCTGACTGCTTTCTCAAAAATTTACAAAAAAATTAGATAAAATTACATAGATTATGAAAACTTGGGGGGCAGTAATACAGCTGCAGGGCATTAGTGAAAAAAAAATATTTGGAGGATACTGTATTGTACATGCGAAGGCGGTGTCACAGACGTTATTGACCGATCGATGCATAGTGCAGATCGTCGTGACTATGCACTTTCAGAGTGCATACTTAGCGATAACCTTTTTATAATTCATCTTTCCCGTCTATTTTTTGTCATTCATAACACATTCTTCTAGAAAATGATTCCACAATCATTTCCTATTTGGAATTTACATTTTCTAATAAGGTACAGAGATGCAGTTACTCGAGTCGATAGAACAAAATTTACGACTTGTTGTGACTTTATGAACTGACAGATGTATTATATTTAATAATTTACATTGCAAATATCAATAACACCAATATTGTTTCTGTGAATATTGACATTGATTTTCTATAAACGCTTAAAATGTACATAGATGAAGTTTAAACAGTACAAACCGAAAAGTCAATATACTTTTTTTTTAATTTTAAAAATGTGACATTTAAACATTTCAAGGATGAAAAAACAAAATTTAACAAAATTTAACGTGATTACTGTTACTTTATTTTTGATGTAGGGACGATTCAGTGAGAATAAAATCCAGAGAATATACCTTTTCTTCCTTACACTTAACTCATCAAAAATCAGTGAAAATAAACTTCATGCAAAACATCTAAAAAAAATTTTCAGCAAAAATTAATTATAGCTAAAAGAAAAGTTCTGTACTTGGTGAGTGGTTAAAACAGTTGCGTGGTTCTCTGACTCTCAACGCGATCTTAGCGCCCATTTGTGTCCAATGTCTATATATGCTTTTCAACGAGAGTATCGTAATTGTCAATCAATAGCGATGACAATTATCAATAATGATTCTTATTAAGAGTATCTTTTTTCGTACTTTACCGCAATAATCAATTTGTTAAGTAGAAATAATCGATACAAAAACCATCGGCACATGCAACTTTCATTATTTTCTCATTATACTACCAGAGGCACACCTCGGGTAAATGGCCTCCACAAGAAAGGCAGGGAGGGGGGATGGGAGGGGGGGTCACATCGATGTTTCAAAACAGTATCGTACTGTGACACTATTTATTTTCACAGGTATTACATTTCCACCATTTTGATGTTTTGAGTTTTAATTTTGCTTATTTCGCTGACTGGAAAATGCGCTAAATTAAAACCTAGTGAATATGTAAAATTTAGAGAACACATTATCTAAATGATAAAACTGAATTTAAAACCCACTGAATATGCCTGAAATGATAAATCAGCGAAAAATAAACCCAGTGAAAATTAGTCATTTTACAGTATTTACTTGCATTTAATCTAGCAGGTTTTACTTATCAGCAAAATTAGCTGAATTAAAATGTTCTTGGAGTTGGTTATTTTTGTCCCAATCTTCTGAAAACAAGTGCAGACTATAAGCGCGACTAATTTTGTGAATTTGCGATGAAAAGAGGGAACTGGTGGTGAAAAGGTTAACATATAAGATAATACTATATTAGTTAAATCGTCATAGTTACCATGCACCACCTGTTTGAATTTCATGTAAACAAACAATTCTTACATATGTATTGAACACAGTGGTGCAACGATTGTGACACTTAAATTTAAATTTACTTTGATGTTCCATATGTAAAAATGTTTTTAAAGTATATACGCCTAGTTTTTAGTCCACTTTTAGTTATAAGTAGTCATACAATTTAATTTGTCTTATAACAAAATCCATTCACTGGATACTCAAATTTGAGCTGCCTTTTATCTACTTGAAAATCAGTAGCGAGTTTATATGAAAAAAATAAGACTCAATAATTTTAAACAGCCACAAATATCTGGCCTCAATTCGTCCGCTGATATTTCAGGTTATCTCACGTACAATGAAAGGAAAAGAAAAGAATGGTACCGTAACACATTCAAACACGAATAATACATACATGTTCAGGTTATGAGGTTAAACCCAATGTAAAAAGAATACATATCCTTTCTGTCGGGTTATTACTCTGATCCATCACTTGGCCACCATCAAACGAAACAATCAGATGATAACTTCAGGCTAAGCTGGGTTTAAAAAACAAACTAGGTTTTGGATTACATACCCACCCACCCCCACCCACGCCTGAAGACATGGATGTTTCACTATAGTAAAGATTATCACAGACAGTTTTATGCATAAGCAATATAATGCCACGGAACTCTATTATTTTGATAATAATAAGAAATTCTCCCAAAATAATCATAAAACATGTGTCCCTGAAAACATGTTGCACGGGGATACTAAATAATTAACGAACATTTGACATTTATTTATCTTGGTTCAGTTACCTTATTAGGAGCGAGATGCTTAATGATAAGGTGTGCGAGTAACAGAGAGGGTTAAAGTTTTCAACAAAAATAGATCAACCACCTCTTAAAAAAAGGGCCATTAATATGCGTCATTGGGAAGATATAGGTGGTTGCATTCTAAACGAAATTGGCAGGTGTCCCTTCCGGCTTTGTTTGAATTCCGTATAGAAATGTTCTCATGCCTATGTAGGCTTAATCGTTTCTAAGCTGCACTTTTTTTTACCCACCACCACCACCATCATCGACGGTGCTTGTTCTTCGTGTCTGATCACCGAATGCGGTATGAAAGTTGCCTCGGGCGTTTTAATACTAGTAAATATAAATAGAACGTTGCGCTCCACGAAAAATATATTGGTTGTGCCACTTGTGGCATATTTTGAGTCAGCTACTAGTATTTAATATTATTATTTTATTGGTAGTCACCGTGGTACAGTACGGGTACAGTATGTACGGTACGCGCGGACTCCAAAAGGTGAACTAAGAATCAGAAGTACATTGACATTTGCATACGTACCGGAGTACAGTCAAAGTCCCACTCCGTCGCTCCGGGCTGTGGCGACCTCGCATCGTAATCCCCGTTATGTGGCTCCCTGCCTATAAGAAGGTTGTCTCCATTTTGTCTCGGCGACACGGCTACTCTATTTCGCGTGCCGTGTTTAGTACTGTTGTAGACGTTTAATAATTCCTGTTCTTGCCTGGCCAAATCCGCGGGCATTTGCCAGTCGGATTTATACCGTGGGTTGAATACAGGAGGATTCCCTGTCTGATTTCTGGATAGCGCTCTTTGATGTCCGACCAGGACTTGGTCAAGTTCGCCTTGCAACGCCTGTAAATCTTCGCCATCCTGTTCAAGATCAGAGTCGATGCTGGGACTCCACACTAGATCTTGTTTATCGTGTATCCTATTGCTAGTTTTTGACGGCGATAAATCCATTTTCTTTGGTGAACTGTTTTTCGATTTTGAATTTGTGACTGACTTATCCTTCGGATGTAGCTTCGAAGACGGAATCTTTTTCTGATTTGGAACGTCTTCCTTCGGTTTGCTGGCGCCCGAACCCATAATGACGAGGGGCCTCGCGCCGGGGGTATACAAAGTCTTCTAAGGACTGGAATGATATAGTCGCGTGACAACTCAGAAAAAAAAAACGTATTTAGCTTCTGTATGGCGTCGACGAAGTTATTACATTCATTTTCAAAGATCAGTCAGTCTTTCCAAAACCAGCTTCCACTTGTATAGCTTCACACTCAAATACTTATAAAATGTCCATGAATACAACTCTTGAGTGCGACATACATCACACTGCTTTCAAAAAATCTTGTTGTGTATTGTGTAACCAGCATGGTATTATCCCGCGGTTGAGTCCATTATTTAATGGGGTGACAAAAAATGAATAGACCCATGTCCTTCTTATGAATACGCTTTGTAGTTGAAGAAATGTTGTATAAAAGGACTGTATAGAACGAAGTTTTTTTCTTAAGTGAAATAGTGCTCAATAATGTGACGTAAATATCGTATTACGCGTTATCATTTATCAAGGCCAATCACCTGAAACGTTGTCCGAACACCCATAGGCGGTGCGTCATCAACTACGCGAACTTGTAACCAATCACATAGACCGTTACTAAGTAACAAGCTTCGCACTTCAAATATATTAGCCAATCACTGACCCTGTTATATCATTATGACTAATTATTCTCCGATAATCACTTCAAGATGAGATGCACTGTGGTTGCGTGTCCTCCGCCTGCTATTGTTTGCGTGAAAGTAAATAAACAAACGTTGCGTTTCCAAGGCTAGGGTAATCGCAGCAGACGTTTGTTGTTATATCGGTGACTGAACGCGGGCAAAGATAAAATACCTATAGTTCAGTCAAATCAGGACCATTTTTTTTGTCTTCTTGAATTCTAATCTTGTTCAAAGATATTATTATTTTCAGAGAGCGGAGTGAATGCGCCTAGTGGGACCAACACTCGCCGTCATTGTTAGAAGGCGAGAAAAACCCGCTTGTCCCATGACAACGGTAATGATACATGTAGCAATGTAGATGAATCGCCGTAATGACAGTACCAGAGGACAAAGCCTATGACCAACACTACACGGCATTGTGTGTTTATAAAGACAAATCAAATTAAATTACACTTGTTACAAAACAAAACAGAAAAGAAATCTGCATGGTCATTTATACTATTTTATTGTTGAATAGTCGTGCCTTTTGAGAATACAGCATACTGCCATTACCAGTAATGTACTTAGTACTTTGTTACACTGTATTATCGACACCATACCCCCATGACCATACAATGTATTCTTTACAAGTTAGGCTGACACCGAGTTTGAAGGTCAAAACAGTGTGAAATCTGCAGGGGCAAAAATTAACATTATAATCAAGGCTCATCATATAAATTTGCCTGGCAGACCAAATCATGATGAATGTACGATGGATGCACAGTAAAACACTGGTAAGGCGACAACAACATTCCGCAGTAGTCTTTGATCAAGTGTTGAGTCTCTTCTATTACACACACAGTGGTTTTGATCAAGTGCAAAATGAAGTGGAGGACATTAACAATAGAGATCAGGTCGCGAAATGCCCGAAGCAAATGCTACTTTTCTTTCAAATTTGTTTTTAGCTCCTGTATTTTCCTTTTTTTAATTGAGGTAACCTATTTAATGTTGTCCGGAAAATGGTGTTATTTCAATCAAAAATTCATATTGTCAGGTTGTAACAGTAAACAAAAATACAAATTTAAAACTGAGATTACTTACCATTTTAGATTACAAATTTATTTTATTTTCTGTCTCCCACAAAACATACCTAATGAATTCTGTGAAGTACTTTATTTTAGCTGGAATTAATTTTCACTTAAAAGAATTTTTGGGTGTTTTGTATTGGAATTTATTTTCACTGATTTTTGACGAGTGAAATGTAAAACATTGGAAAAAAGATATATTTGTTGGATTTTATTTTCGCTGAAACATTTCTTCAGCGAAAATAAAGTATTTTAAAGTGATTTTACTAGTTATTTACTAGTATTACATCATTCACAGTTTTTGTTTTGTCTGAACTAAACAAGGTTGCAGAAAAAGACTACTGTGGAATACTTTATTTTCGCTGGAATTAATTTTCGCTGAAAAGGCTTTTAGGGCGTTTTGCTTGAAATTTATTTTCACTGATTTTTCATGAGTTTAATGTGAAATATAGGAAAAAAAGTATATTCGCTGGATTTTATTTTCACGGAATCATTCCTTAAATTCCAAGCAAAAATAAAGTATTCTACAGTATTTACTGTTGGCTAGTGTGCTCGTTCTTTTCAAATTAGTGAAAAATGTCACTTGGTCCCTAGTGACAGAGTCACAGTGACTTTTGTGAAATGTTGACCCCCATGAACATCAAATCGCAAAAATAAAAACAATTTTACAGTAATCAGTATCATCAAATTGTAACATGGAAGCAATCATCAGTGCTTATTGATTTTGCTGTGCATAAAAACCTGTACCATATTGACTCTATTTGAAGCACATCTTAAAATTTCCAATAGAGATGTACATATTAAGCCAATTTTGTGACAGTTTATTTATGTAAACACATGCATTTTTATTAAACAAATAAACATGAAACACATAGCATTATACACATTTCACTTTATTGAATAAAACAATAACTATAACAGTTTAAATATTAAGGTATATTCAGCAATAATTAAACAACATAAAAATGTCTTGAAGCATGAATAGAACACATTTAATTCAATTCAGTTCTTCTGAATGACGAGTTCAATAACAAAAAGTGCCCTCTTTATATCAAAATTGGAAAAGCTAAAGTTGAACGTCTGATGTGGTATGATCTTTCTTTTTTTTTAAATATTTTATTAATTAAATTATTTTATCATTTAAATATTGTTAACCAATAACTAATATTTGTAATATACATGAACTGTTTTTAAACAAACATTTTTTTGAGAAAAGTTAAATAATTTAATACCAGAAGTATATGTATCAATCCGTACATAGAAAATTTATAAATCTGAACAAGAAATTGAAGTTCATTAATGTAATTATACCCGTACCATTTTTCCAATATTTTACATTCAACTCATTAAAATCCAGTGAAAATAAATTCTTTTCAGCGAAAATTAATTTCAGGTAAAATAAAGTACATGTATTTTACAATAACTGTACTGGTTTACCTTTGTGTGTTGCATTATGGTTATAATGCTGTTCAACCCAACCCTCCTTCTTTACAGAAATAGAACATATTAAACTTTTTATTGTTCACCGAAAGGGAAAATCAGCATGAAGCTTACATGAGTGAGAATAAATTGCATGTGTCAATTCATCATGAAAATAAATACAGTAATCCATAGTATAAACATGGTAGGTAGTTTCATGGATTTATTGTGGCACTAGGCTGTTGAAATTAAAGATTTTATCATGCCATAACTGTGTCGTCAATACACATGTATTGTCTAAGGTTTACACAACTGCTATAAAAAATCAAGAGAAACTGACAACTTGAATCAAAAGTTTATCACATAAAACTTTCAAAACCTGAGTACTGCAAGTCATTGAATTTGGTTTCATATTTAAATCAACTGCATCTTGAGTTTAAATGATTGCTTGAAAACAAACACTGCTACTTATTGAGAAAAAGTATATCTTCTTATAAACTTGGATGTACAGTACACTTATTAGCAATGTTTGGCTGGCTACAATATCGTATAACATAAGCATTCCTTTTTACGTCAAATAATTTTACATGTTTATAGAGTGACTAGTGACATGACAACGCATTTGAACATCTGTTGCCATATCTTGTTGTCAGGAAAACTTATCTACCCCCCCCCCCCATTTTTTTAAATTTCATTTAGTAGCCCAGTAACTTGTGGTCAGTACAATATTTCAAAGTTATGACACCTTTTTTTTAACCATCGCCTCTTGCACTTGTATGCATTATAAACTCACATTTGTTATAGACACTAAGGTATTCTTATTGGCAACTTGGAAATGTCTTGTGCATGGGTTGGAAATCAGGGGTTCTTTTCAATTCATCACTGCTATTGGCTCATGCAACAGTACATGAAATGTAATTCTTAATAGTCTTTTTTGACTCTGTGAAGAAAACATAAATAAGCTATCAATAAAATATAATAATGGCAGTTTGAATTCCAATATTATTAAAAGCAGTTTTTAAAAGAGAGTAACAGCAACATGTACTTTGAGAGGGCACCCATTTTCAAGGCCTGAATTGATAAAGTTGCAAATTTTATGCAGGGAATATTTTTCACCCAGGCAAACAAATTGAGCATCAATGCAACTGCCATAGATATCTCTGAGAAGTTGAAGTCCTGCAAAAAGCATTTGATATTGGGAAATGAAATATACATTCACATTTAAAAACATTACCTAGTAATTTTTGATAATTTACCGGTAGTATTGTGATGACCCCAAATGTTTGGAAGTCATGTTATTGCCACCAAATCGAATAGACATTCATAATATTTATAATCTTTTACTGTGTTACAAGTTTGAAATGTTAAACCCCTGTATAAAAATTTCTTTAACTTTTTTACACGATGAGTAAACCCATATACTGTGTTTGCTTTTTTAGAAGCATGTATCTCCAATAGAAGGCGTGTATGTATAAAATCAACATTTGCATGTATTGAATACCTGATCATAAAGATATGACTTATTTTTTACCATAGACACACCTGTGTTATTTATGTGAGCACATATACTAATACAGCAAATACAACACTGTATGTCCTTTATAAGAAGCTAATCTCTGACAAAAAATTTACTCACAATCATGCGCTATTATCGGTAATATAGAGAAAATATGATACGTTATGTGAATTCAACTACTGTAAAATGACTAATTTTCACTGGGTGTAAATTTCGCTGATTTACCATTTCAGGCATATTCAGTGGGTTTTAAATTCACGGTTTTATCATTTAGATAATGTGCTCTATGCTAAATTTTACATATTCACTGGGTTTAGCGCATTTTCCAGTCAGCGAAATAAGCAAAATTAAAACCCAGTGAATAATTAACCCTT